AAATCTGTATTTTAGAGCCATAGCGAAGAGCAGCTAGTTAGTATGTTTAGTAAAAGCTTTTCTTGATATTTGTTGACTTTTTTTTAAGTAGCTGATCAATTATTGTTTGACACTGCCTGGAGTATGGTAAACTGAGGGGTGGTGAGAGCAGGGTTTTGTTAACCCCTGCTGGGTTTTTTTTTCCTCAGGTGGTGAAGTTACACACCAAGTTGGGAAAACCCATCCCCTCCACAGAACCGGTTGTGGTGAACTCTGCCCCCGTCGCCACGACGACAACGGCCAGTAAGCCAGCCCCTCCCACTACTACTCCAGCTACCCCGGCAACCCCCCCCAAACCTACCATCGCCAGCACCGGCAAGGCCTCGCCACTGGTCAAGAAGCCTGCCCCACCCAAGATCACTTTTGTTGGTAAGTGGTCACCAAACCCCTTGTGCGAATATTTGGTGCTGGATCCCTTTATTTACAATTTTAAAAGGGTTTTTTTTTTTTGTTCTGCTGTGTTTGTTTTTTCTCCATTCTGTTTTTTTTTACCTTCATGCTCAAGAGCAGTAAGCGCAGAATAAAGTAACCGCACGCGGTTTGAATGCTGGTTTAGAGGCGCTCCAGGAAAAAAGATGTGCTGTACACCAGTAACCTGGGAATCGGCACGCTCTCCAGAAGGATAGCACCCCCCCTGCTCAGTCAGTTGAATAAGTCTCCCGGTGGCAGGCAGTGTGCAGCTGGGTTGAGGATCAAGAAACAGACCTCTACTACCATTCCTGACTGGGACCGTCCCAACAGTTGAAATACTGTTGAAAACCAGTAGTAATAATAATAATTGCTTACACTTATATAGCGCTTTTTTGGACACTCCACTCAAAGCGCTTTACAGGTAATGGGAACTCCCAGTACTGCAGGTCAATCCAACACACACACTCCATTCCCCTTGTTGCAGCCTCAGTGGGAAATGATCTTGTCTTAAGAACGGGGTGGGACTGGGTTACAGATATTTCTGAACCTTCAGGAGCACGCGCTGTGTTTTGTTCAAGGTGGTTTCTGCTGCTAGCAGAATGCTGGTGGGTGCCAGTTTTCTGGCTGGTGAGTGTAAGTACTTCGTGAAGCTGGACCATCCTCAGTGCACTCTCACGGGTTGGGCTCTATTCTCCCTTTTCTTTTTTGCTGCTGCGTCGAGCTTTAACGCGGAGCCCCCCCC